ACACACGCACGCACGCACACACACACACACACACACACACACACACACACACACACACACACACGTGCGTGCGTGTGTGTGTGTGTCTGTGTGTGTGAGAGAACTGATTCCGTGGTATCTCGCTCAGTACACGGCAGCTGTGTTCTATAATGGCAACTCGAACGCTTTAAACATATCAAGCTTTTGAGGAAAATAAATGTTTTGATTAAGTTGCGCAATGATTGACACAGTGCAGCATAGGCACGTCGCTGCTCGTAGTCCCCCGCGTCAGCCAACAGCTCCAGCGTCGAGAGACCGGCTTAAACAGGTTCGCCGTTGCAAAACATGGCTATGACAGTTCGACTTACTCCAGAATGAGCATAACGTAACGTATTACACGTGCTTGTTTTAGTCATGACCAAGTGTCACTTATACTGTTCGGCGGAGGGCAGCCTGAACGGATTGGAACATTCAGGATTGTTTTCGAACGTTCTGGTAGGATTACGTGCACGGGACGCGAGCAGTTCACATTATTCTGAAACAGACTCAATAACGCTGGAATGTTCGATCAAGGATAAAAAAGACGGTGAGTTTTAGCGACGATCACATTGCTCACGACTGACGATGGTACTCGGCGCTGCCACTGTATACTGCGAGTGCTGCTTGATTTTACCGGGAGTTCTTTTCCGGGGCACAAGTTAACCAAATAACATGGTTTTTACCAGTTTGTCTGCTCACTTCATCACCATCACAACCGCGTGACTACGGCTCGACTATGCAGCTGCTGTTTAGACGTGCATAGAAGAACCGGTGTCCTCCTTTAGCACTTTTTTCGTTTTGTCACCGCCAAAATTGCGCTAAAGAGATTTGCTAACGCCCACCAAAAAACAGAAAAAAAGCGCATACTTGAGCTTTTTTTCGGAAATTGTAAAACATCCCATAAACTTTAAAATAAAATGGGCATTCATTTACTATGTTATTAGAGTGTTTTTTTTTTACAAACAGACGTCGATCGAACTCCGCCACGTGCGGCTTTGTGAAATGATGGCTCTGACAAGCATATCACATTTGCGCATCTTGCAACTAAGCCCCCCTTCAAAAAAATTTATCTTGCTTGCGAGAACTCTGAAAAATACTTGAAAAAAAAAATCCTCGCTTCTCTCCGAAGTGATTCATGACGAGTGGGCGTAGCCCCGGAGATCGCACAGTGTTACCGTAAATCACCCGTGACATTGGCCACCCACGCATGTAACTCAGTCTGCACCTCTGGTAGACACCGCTTTTCACGTCTAGCCGCCGCTTGCTGCGTTTTTGACGACGGGTAGCTTGTTGGCGTTGTTACGTTACCGCTTTTATGATCCTGTGGTCTTCTATTTTGTTCTGGTGAACACCTTTTTGTTTCATTCCTGTCTGTATATATATTTTTTCATAAGCTTTGATGGATGGGTGGTCAAATGTTGACGTCTTTACGGTGTTGTGGCCTTTTATGTTGTTTGTTCTGGTTAACAGTCTTTTGTTACCCTTTTGTTCTTCCCAGATGTTTTGGTTTATTCACATTCCTCTGCGCTACGTCCGCTCAGCTTTAGATGCTGAATGGTTGGTTATGGACGGAGGAACATTGTGAGGTCTTGAGGTGCTTTGCCCCTAATAAATAGCTTGTGGAGATATTAGGCTACGGGGCTAACATTGAAAAATGTAGCGTGCCAGTCTAACTAGCGTATAAAAGTTGGTTGGTATACATGCTGGCCGACTCTAAAGCCATCTCTCTCCATCTCTTCTACACTTTCCCTAATTCCGTTCTGCGCTCTTCGCATAAACATAGCGTTTACCTCGGACGTGTTAACCCTTCATGGAGCCGGCAAACGAAGACGTGAAACACCTTTTCAGGCATGTTATTCTTGCTCGAGTGCCTAAGCGCGTTCGCAAATACAACAGCAATATCCTCGATGCGTCCTCTTTTTCTGACAAAACGCAGAACCTTGATGGGCCATCCGGAATCGCCGATGCGAAACACCTTATATGGCGGAAGTCTACTGCTGTGTATTTTTATAAAAACTAGAAGCACTCAGTAATCGAAAACTGATTTACCTTCAGCAGATATTAATGGACTACCTAGAAAAAAAAAAAGAGCTGGTAAGGCAATCTTATTCAACGTCAAATATCCCGCACAGAATTTCGCTCACTGCACAATCAGCGCAGAAAGTTGGAGAATATTCTAATATTGTTTTTAGGGTTATGTTTTGAATGCAACTTCCTCTTTGTGTGCCTACGAAGTAAAAGGCTACAAAAGCACTTATCGGCTTTGCGATACGCGTAAACCTGTGCAAGTGCTTGTGACGGACTGGACGTTGACAACTTTATGTGCATTTGTTAATACGAGTCACGACGTTCTCTCCTCCTCATTTTTCAGTTCTCTTTCTCCTTCCATGCCCCGCCGCGGTGGTCTAGTGGCTAAAGTACTCGGCTGCTGACCCGCAAGTCGCGGGTTCAATTCCCGGCTGCGGCGGCTGCATTTCAGATGGAGGCGGAAATGTTGTAGGCCCGTGTACTCAGATTTGGGTGCACGTTAAAGAACCCCAGGTGGTCAAAATTTCCGGAGTCCCCCACTACGGCGTCTCTCATAATCAAATGGTGGTTTTGGGACGCTAAACCCCACAAATCAATCAATCAAATATTTCTCCTTCCATGGTGAAGGTTAGTCAACCAGGTTCAGCCTGATTAACATTCCTGCCTTTTCTTAATACATCACTTTATATCACACCAGAATTCACTTTGTTTATAACAAATCAGATGTCACTCAAAAGCCTGAAATTATCCAGCAGTTCGTCATGTGACCACTGTATGAGCGTGGCAACAGTCGCCCATCTTATCTGAGAGTATTCTCGCTTAAGTTCTGCCAGAAAATAACTTTCAAAGATGTTAGACGGCTTTGAAGGCCGCTCATTGTCGGAAGCAAGGATCTTGGGAGACTGGCCGACACTTCTCAGCAAATAAGGCTTTGAAAGCATTGCGTTGTTTTTTTTTCCTTGAAAACTGGTTTGTAGACACAGCTTTTACACTGCTTTTACTGCTTTTACTGGTTTGTAGACACAGTAACAGCAGTGTCGTGCTACCCTTTGTTTTTTTTTGTTTCCACTTTGTTTGCTCTTTTCTTTTATCGTGGTCTGTTATTTTTCATTCCCAGATGGAGGCGGAAATGTTGTAGGCCCGTGTGCTCAGATTTGGGCGCACGTTAAAGAACCCCAGGTGGTCGAAATTTCCGGAGCCCTCCACTACGGCGTCTCTCATAATCATATAGTGGTTTTGGGACGTTAAACCCCACAAATCAATCAATCATATTTTTTCATTCCCTTTTCCTGCACAGGGTAGCCAGCTGGTTCGCGAACTAACTAACCTTCCTGTCTTTCGGTATAATTTATTCTTTTTCCTTCTGATTCGATTCACGGATCACTCTTCTTAATTGACATGCGTTTGACAAAGTTAAAAAGATAATTTCTTTGTGCTACGCCACATTAATTGTGTTGGGATATTTGAAATAAGCTCGCGATTTTCTTAAAACTAGAAGTTATTCTTCTACATACAGTTTCACGCACTTTATAAAGGAAAATGAGCCATCCGAAGTTAGAGTTTTCTCTTGTGCGTCTTAAAGCACGTCATATGAGGCTCGTTGCCAGCAATGTTTTTTCGGAAGGGGTGGACTTCATGAAAGCCTTGACTAGTCTATAGAGACACCTGTTTTCAATGCTTATTTTTGGTAAAACATCGCATTGTCACAATTTTTCATGCGACGATGAGCCCCTGGGGCATCCCCCTGGCTGTAAAGGCCTGTGTGAAATAATAATAATAATAATAATAATAATAATAATAATAATAATAATAATAATAATAATAATAATAATAATAATAATAATAATAATAATAATAATAATAATAATAATTTGCATAGTGTTCAAACAAGGCTGTCTTGGCATTCAAAAGAGAGAACAAACAAAAGATTTTGCAAAAAACGGATGCTTCCTACCACCAGCTACAGTGTTCAAGGTTCCAGCACAATAGAAATATTAGAAAACAAACAAAAAACTATGCAATACTTTTGAGGAGAGCGTTTGGCGCAATTCCATGTACTCGAGGGCTGATGATACAGGCAAGTGTTAGAGCCTTACAAAGACGCCTTCACAGCACAACGTAGCGGCGCGCGAAGAATTCTCGTTCGGCGCATTGAAATTGCGGCCTTCTTTCAAGGAAGAAAAACTGTGCCATATGGGCCTGCCAGTGGCAGTTTCGTTTGTGGCTCACTTTCATCGCGATCGGTTCGGTCAATGGCACTGAGAACAAAAAGCTGCCGTATTCTTGTGCCTAGGGCACTTAAAGACCACGCTAGCGTTAAGAACGAACGAGCGCTGTCACTATGTTGTGCGACGCTGCGCCAGCAATTTCTCGATGCCGACGCGCGTGCATTGATAAAAAGCAACATTTCTGCAAAGTGCGCGTGCGACGTTGATACATAATGTGTCAGTGCAACGAAAGAATACAAAATAGCAGAAAGATCAATACGACGGCACTCAAAGAACGTGTTTTTTCTTGCAAACCTACACGCGAAAATAGAAGAGCGTTATATTTTTAAATAAACAAACACGGAGGCAATATTGAGGCCGACGGCTAGATCCATTAGTGAATCTTGCAAAAAGACATGTTTAAAGCAAAGAAATAATGCAACACATCAAATATTCAAGGAAGACCTCAGATTACTGTTTAAGTGCTATTTTTTTTAGTTCTCCCAGTTTTCATAAAACGGGCAGCAACATACTCGCATGGCGTCGTAACAGCACTTTAAGGAGCGTGAATAAATTACGAGGTTCCAGCAATACGAGTGCCATAGATGAGGCTCAGTGACGACACGAGCAGCGCGCTGCAGACTGGTTCGAATACGAGGCGTGCCTTCGTGTCAGCACGTGGCCGCATAGCAAAATAACAGCGAAGACACGCGTATGACGGACAATAAAAGCGTCAGAAACACTTACGGGTCTGGTGCAAGGTTCTGGCGCTTGCGGTTAACTTGGTGAGGCTTGGGCTCAGAAACCATGTTAACGTCTGTAAAACAGAGAAACGAGGAGTTGGGGAAAAAAGGGGAGGAAAAATAACGCCGTCGGCAATCACTTAGTCACTTCTCTGACGAAAATGGTGGCAAAAGGGAAAAAACGTGTGCCAGGAGAACACGATGCAAAAATACAGTGCAGTGAATGGACCCCGTGATTTCGGAAGCGGAAGAGAAAAAATTATTTTAGAGGAAAAAAAAAAGCGTGAAAAAGGATGGAATGTTGTGGGAGGTCTTCTAGTGCCGTCTTATACAGACGATGGGCACATTGCTTTTCTTTTTCTTTCTTTGTTTCTTTTTTGCTTTTATTTGAAGGTCTGGGCAAAAAATTGAAAGAAAAATAGGAGAACGACGTTGGAAAAAACTGACTCACGTGAAAGAGCTGGAATGAAAAATGAAAAAAAAATAGGAGGAGGGGGTGAAGAAGAAAGAGGTTGGGAAAGGAAAGGGAAAGGAGCGAATTGAAAGGGACCATGAGTACACAGGCAGAGTGCATGGAACAATGATTAAGAATTATAATCCCCGTTAAAGAGGCGAAGCAGTCGTGCGTCCGTTCTCAATTATGCACTCCAATAGGGAGCCTTTAACAACACAGTCACTGAGACAGCTCGGCAGCCTCCGGGGCTCAACGCTGAGAAAAACGTTGAACGGCGGAGCTCAAATCTGGGGAGCTGCACAAAGGAAGTGGTGGCCGGCGCAACACATGCTCAGGCGCGTATACAAGAAAACGAACGAAAACAAACTGAGTAACGGGACTTGCTTCACTTGGTGCAGAAACAGAGCGGCAAGAGAGGGGGAAGGTGAAAAACACGAGTAATTAGGATCATAGTGTCCCTTCTGTGCTTGAAATAATGAATATTAATTATTACAAGACGGTAAAGACGCTCCCTCGTTCGCTGCTTTCCCGTTTTTCATATTTGCACCCAATAAAAAAAGAAAAGACTGTTTCAGCCATCTTTGTTTTCTTTTCGTCTTTTTGAATGTGTGGCTTTTGGTGATGGCCTCATTCGCCTTATTTCATTGTTCTTCGCTATCTATTGCGAACGATAACGTTCTATATTGTTTGTTTAGAAAGCAACGAAATAAGCTGGAGCTTAAGAGAAGGGGTCCCTGCGGCGTTGACGCAAACCCCGCGGAGCTGTTATTATTTTTTTTCGCAGCGTATGAACTTGCGCAGTGAAAGAATTAGCACTGCGTGTGAATACATTTATAATCTTTTCTCACTCGAGCTGCGACAATATGTCCCATCAGAAGTTTCCAACTTCAACATGTTCTCATGCATCTTGTTACAGGTAATAATAAATAAACGACATCACGCAGAGGCGATAACTACGTCATTCATTCTATTTTCATTACTATGGCCAGGCTTCAACGTCCACGTGCGTCAGTGCTGATGTAGCAGTCTTTTAAAACTTTTATGAGTCAAGTGCAAACGTAATATATACATATGCAAAAAAAAAGCCTTCACGGAATGGTTAATTGTGCCATGACAGTCGAAAAAGAACATGCAGGGATGCTATATTGACATCACATCAATCTACAACAACGTTGTGCAGCAAGAGTTTCGACAGCTATAAGGTGCATGTTCGGTTAGAATAGGGCACTTTTCAACATTAGCACAGACAAGAAACAGTTATACACATACAGTTTACAGGCGTGCAAAAACAAAAAATATCTGCGTAAAATTTGCTGTGCATGCCCCAGGAGCTAACGCCAGGCATCCTCTCGCAGGGCGGAGCGCTGAACAGAGCAGTGAGAGGTACTGTAAACCTCCGTTTACATGCACCGCAATATTATTTATTTCGCGGGAGCTTGCATTGCATCACACCCACTGTTCGTGTATGCTTTATGAAGCACTGCTGTACAATCAATTGTTAATTAGAACTTCTGCGCTCTATAGTTAACAATGTTTTTTGTTTGCCAATACCAGATTAAATATGTGTTGTCTTCACTGTCAGAGTCTCATTTGTCCCTGCGCATCATGCATTTATCATATCGTTGTCTCATCAGCTCAGCAACAGAGAGGATGTTATTGCAGAAGTCCCGCTCAGGGTAATTGCTGCGTCATTTTTAAAATTTTCTTCAATGCAGTTTACACGTAGTATCAAAACGCTACACACCTATGCATCGTTGTTATAATGAAGCAGAAATCAACACAGCCGCATCTTAATATCACTTTTTTGTTCTTAGGTATACGAAGTTAAGCTTTTTATTTGTCTGCTTTTTCAGAAAATGTGGCAGCTTCGGGAATAATATGCCGCGTTGGCAGAACTTGACTCGTACTGGGATTGATTAATTCTTAACAAATCGGTGAATATTGCACCAGACGCTATATTTTTAGGTGACGGTTGCACTGTAGTTGCCTTGCCATCTGTTCTAAACAATGCTCGTACAACACGACGTGGGGGCTATTCGTACAGAATACGGTGGTAATCTGGAAACGGAAGCATAGTTTACTTTCAGCGCAGCCCGAACGCCTGCTTTCATGCATATTCTTCTCACTCGGCACCGTCTCATCGTTCACACGTACGTACGGTATCACCCGCTGCATTGGAAACATCATTTTCTAGAGCAGTGAAATTCGACAGGCAACCCGAGGTGGCGTGCATACACGGTCACAAAACAACCCGAGTTGCTCGGCCCTTTCGATGCGCGCCATCGTATGCTGCGCTATCCTACGTTCCTGTCCAGATGCCAACCGTCCGGAAGTATTCAGCCCGAGACCGACGCTGTTTGCAGGGGATCTTCGTCCGGAATCGCGCACGCTTCTCCGTGTCCATGCCAAAGGGGGCATAACCTCCGCCTGTACGCAACACGGGCCGGTCGCGCTGACCGATAACCCTCCCACATCTTTTCTCCAGAGCGCCTTTCTCCGCTTCCGTGCGCCAGCCGAGACCGGATGTTTTATTTCCCACCGCCTCTGCGGCGCGGAGGCCGGCATGTCGAGTGGCTTATGCGAACGTTCCATCTCTCAACGTGGGCCGCCATTCCTATAGGACGTCGCGAAGGTGAAACCTCAACCGATCTTGACGGGGCCTTCGCAAGAAGAGATCTTTTCGGCATGTAGGCTACGCGAGGAAGAGCACGCGTACGAAAGAAGCAACGGCTCCGGATAAAGCGGACGCGAGAAAGAAGTGGCGTTCTCGCAGAGATAAGCCCGAAGGAAATGGCCGGCTCTCGCCAAGTGGCTCAACTGGGCCGCGCGCGGAAACAACTGCACCCGTAGGATGTGCCGCGCTGATCGGTTCAGTATTGGCTTTCAGACCGGAAAGGTGAACCGGCAGCAGTTGCGAAGGGAGAGCTAGATGGAAAATAATGCTCGCAAAGCAAAATGACTGATTACGTTCGAACAGAAAAAAAAAACTCTCATGAGGATTGAGATACTTCACGCTCTTTTTTCGTTTGCAATGGCCCGTAGCATACCAACCGATCACAAGCACTCTGGTAAAGGGATACAAAGAGACACTGCTTTGGGACCATGAAGGAAGGAATGCGTAGTATGCGTCCTCTCACGGAATAAGGTGAACGGGCAAAAAAAAAAAGGAAGGCGGTTTCTGGCATCTATAGTAACCGTTCAGTAATGAGAACTGTATGGGAAATAGAAGCTGGCAAGCTTCCATCTCCCGGGTTCCGGTACGAATAAGGCGTATACACATGCGCATCTCACGTTTATTTACACCGCAAGATCAGGCAGCACAGGTATATTGGCGACGAAAACAAAAAGCCGGATAGCAGCTACTTTTCGCAAGATTTGTTTCAAACCATGAGAAAGTTGCTAAATTCAATTAGAGCGTCCCTTTTTTCCTAGTGGATGTCCTTGTCACTTGATATCTTAAATAATATGGACTGCTCTTTGAAAAAAAATAGAGGAAAATGACAAAGAAAGGCGCCAATAAATGCTCAGCTAGAATTTTACGAGGCTTTGTAAAAAACGAAATAAAGAGATGTACAATAACAAACTCGTGTTAGAACATGGCCACTATCTACATCCAGATAATATTCACTTAAATTTAATGTGCAGTTGTACCTGCTACAGAATGTTCTAAAGTAGAAGAAAGCAAAATTAACAAGACTTAGTTTGTGTCCTACACCACAGCTGTTTGCTATCATGGCAGGGACACCATTCCAGAGAAGAATAAAACCAGAAAAAGCAACGTTCAGTTTTCGAATCCTAGGACAGGGAGAATTAACGTTCGCAGAGGTCCCGCGTGTATGTGAAGAAAATAATTTGAGCTGCGAGAATATGGGGCGAAGAAAAACGAATCATGTGAATAAAGCATATCCCTTCACCAAACCAAACGCAAAAAAGACAGAAAGCTTGTTCAGTTAATGAGACGCCCAAATTCGCTGCGATAATTGACGTCAAACCGACAAAAAAATAAAAGACTGCCATTGAGCGACGAATTCTACGCATAATGAAGCCGCCTAACGAAATTGTGTTCGACCAAGCAAAACAACACTGATGACTATAGATGCAGCCTCACGCGAACGTGAGGCTTGGAGGAGCCTGTGGTACTAATTAGGAGAAAGAAATATGCAAACGAAAGCACTTCTTTTTGATAAGAAGAGAGACTGAGAGAACTTCTGATGGCCCAATGCCGCTGAGAGTAGTTTTGTTGGACGCTGAAGAACACGGTTTGAGCTGTCAAACACGGCAGTCGCACGAAATCATTAGGAAATCGGTGGGGTAGTGCGTGAGGGGGCAATAGGTGTCATTAAGCGTCGTATTATCTAGGTGTCGTCTAAGCAGCTGTCCGGAAACGATGAAAGAAACCTGCTTGGCAGCACGCGTATGACATTCCGGCAAAGCGCATACGCGAGTTGGTGAATAACATTAGGAAGAAACAATGTACACACCATTCGACTCGTGATTAAGCGGTAAAGGTTATTCCGATTTACAAATCCCGTCCAAATGTTGCTCTATTTGAGTGCAGTAAAATTTCGCTCTTGTGTGCCTCAGTCAACGTATTTGAACATTTATTTTACAAAAG